TAAATCCTGCCCTCCTCAGCATGGAAACGCTCTGGTCCAGGTTACAGCGAGGCAGCTGCTTCCGCTGAGGATGCCCGTGCCGGAATCTTATCCTGGTGCTGTTCACTAGATTGCTGCACAGAAAAAACAAGAAGAGGTCACTCCTCTGCCGAAGCTGACGTGGTTATTGCCACTGATATTTTCATACGCTGCACTAATGGCTATAAGAGGCATCCAGCACGTGCGAGGTGTGGATCCAGTGCCGCTCTCAGGGTGAAGCGTTCACTGAGACACCCTGCCTCTCAGACAAGTGGCCATCAGGTCACAGGATATTTCAGGGTGGGATGGAAGGGAAACAACAGTGCTCTCTTGCTCCATCCCATGTCATTGCATTGAAAAGGATTCAAGACGCCTTGTGCCAGGGAGTAAGAGAAAGAAAGAAAGAAATTGAGCCTGTCCGTCTGTCTGTCTGTCTGTCTGTAGGGCATTACCGGGGGGGACCATTCTACTCTGCTCTGGTATGTGCACGTATCTCACGATTTCATGTGCACTTACTGAAGCACCCTCAGTGACAATTGCCTGTCTGTGGTTCAGTTTTGAGGCTTATGAATTATGCAGGGTTTTATCCCTTTAATGGGTATGTCGACTTCATGTCATTCTAGGTTCTTAATCGAGATGGAGCATATGCCCTCTGAGGCTTCATTAATCTTACATATAATCTCATCAAAAAGATATTACAATACCAAAAAAGTTTCAATTCTGAGAGTTCCAGCACATCACTCAAACAGAAGTCTCTCCTGATAACACCGCTTTCCTCTGAGCGTGCTTGATGGGTTTCATGAGTTGGCTGCTTGTTCTGTAGGGGCACTTTGGCACATGCATTATGCATCAGCTTGTCCTTGCTTTGCTGCATCTGTCAGCACACCGGCTGATAAGCATTCGTAATCATTTGCCGCATCATCTATATCATCTGGTTTCTACCTAATTAAGTAAAATCTAGATTGTTGTATAACTGCAGTGAAAACATTTTACTGAATAATCCTCATTTACAGATATTTGCCATTTCTCCATTAACAAGCTCTTAAGTCATTGAGGGGATTCATTGGTTTTCACAGCGATGATTATACTCTGCTGGCACTCCTGTCTTGACCACCTAAACCTATATGTAATCCTGCTAAAATCTATTGATTAATGAGATTTATTTTGCATAATTATGCAACTATTTTTTAATTTGTTATAGACTTCGTTATATCACTGTTTCTATGGATTTGCCTGGTATGTACCTGATGGCAAACAGGCTCTTGCTGTCTGAATCATTTCACGTGCTCTTTGTTTAAACAAGAACATTGCAGTCATTCTGGAACTTGCACAGCTCCAAGATGAATTAAAGGTTAACACGAGTGGTCCAAAGAGCCCCTGGGCACAAAGATCCCCTTTCTGAAATGTAAAACTCACAGTCCTAGCAGCTGCAGGTTAATATCCTCTCTAACCACTAAGGGAAAAGAGAATAATTAGTTATCAGAGCTTTTTCCTAAATGCAGATCAAAATATTTATTGAACACTTTTTGTGTCTCATTAAAGAAAACCTCATAAGCTAATAGCAGTTTTATACTATTTCAAGATTTTTTTTTTGTTCTTGATGTGTTTAAGGAGTAGCTTTTATTCTTTAATAATTTACAGAATAATTTTTTACTGTCCTTAAACCTGTTGACTGTTGCTGTTTGTTGGTGCCTTTGTTCACCTTTTTGCGTGCATTTACTTGCCGATAGCCTGTATTCATTATTACCGCTTCTCAGGGTTTCCTTGGCTTTACTCCCTGCTCCGCTGTGAACAACCACGGACAAAGCAGTTGTCTTCACAGCTGCAGGGCTTACCCACCCCGTAAGGCGTTCTTCACTTAAACTCATTGTGCACAGTTTTTTGGGGTTTTTTCCTCCCACTTGGAGTGAGGTTGGACACAAGTTTTGCTGATTCTGATATTAGAAAAAAGATGGAGATTATCCTCCATATCCGTTAACCCGTGGTTTTGGTACTGTCTCTCATTTACACTTTTTTGGGCACGGGTGTTATTTAACAGTTTAACTGGAGCGAATTAGGCACACAGGATAGCATGCAACTGCAGAACGTCACCAGCACGCAGAAGCCCCTCAATACGGCAAAGTTTTATTTCTGCCCCTGTATTGCTGTTTCTGAAAAATTTATGTCTTCTTGCACTGAGCAAAACGTACATCACTGTTAGCAACTAGCTCTGACAGTTGATAAATCCTGTTTTATTGAGCAATAACTTCATGTCGTATCACCTGGGAGAACTAACAGCTTTCGCTCGTGCATCCTGAATTATGGTGCAATCCCTCAGGCAAGGCCCTCTGTCCGTTTACGTGTTTAAATGAAGATGAGATCTTATCGCAGCAAGCAGTTAGACTGCACAGAATTCTTCGGTTGTCCAGGCTGGTCCCAGCGCAGCGTCGCTGCCAGGGGCTGTCAGAGAGGCGGGCGGTTTACACCGCATGTCAGATGCTGTACAGAGAGCTGCATATAAATCATATGGGTATTGCTGAGCAGAGAATAATTAAGACACCACCATTAGGACAAAAATAAATCCATTTGGTTGATGAAGAGCAGAGCTGATGAGGGATCCGTTTACTAAAGCAGGTTAGAAAATGCATAGTTCTGTACAGTGTCAAGAATTAGAGAACGCCTTCAAATTTAGGAAAACTCTGTCTTTTTCAGAATCAAAGCTCATTTTTCTCTCTGAAACCAATGCAAATCAAAGACTCAACTTTTCCAGATTTCTGACTGCGGGGTGGGTTTTGTTTCCTTGTTTGAGAAGGCACTGGGGACCTGCAGAGCTCGGGAGTATGAAGCCTCATCACAGAAAATACAGACAAGACAGATATTTTCCCGGATTCAGTGAAGTAATTTAGTAAACTCTCCTGTAAATTGTAAAGCTCCAGAACAGACACTGATTAAAGTGATATGTGGCAGTTTTTCATTTTCCAGTGAAATTATATCAGGTTACTAGTCAAAGCAAGATACTTACACATATGTACATGAGACAGATATATATATATAAAACATTTTCACCAGTTCTGAAGCGTTAGCCTCTGTTTTGAAATTCAGTTTGGTTTGCTTTCCCTGACAAACACCCTAGAAACACAGAGCTTTTTTCTGAAGATACTTTAATCAAATAGAAACACATTTCTTGCTCTTCTCAAGACTTACAGAAAGTCTTACTCCAAAGTGCCGGAGGCTGGAGGAAATACAGCAGCTTCTCTCCTTGGTAAGCATAAAAGAGTTATTTGTCTCAGCCAAACGTACCCCACAGATCCCAGGAACGCGTCCTGGCCTGGGTTCTGACCAGAGCCCGGCTATGTAAACCCAGGTCGCTCAGGTTCTACTGCACCCGCTGGGGACTGGCACAGGTGCAGGAAGAGAGGGTTTATTCCAGTTGGTACCGAGAGGTATGTGCAATTATACAAACACTTTTCTGGGCACAAGCAGGCTTCTATCGTTACAGACTGCTGCTATGACCAAGACCAAGATACGTTTTTAAAGCATTTTCTATATCCTTAGAAACAGCAGTGGGTGCTTTGTGCAGATATGTTTAGATTTAGGGATGCAAAGATTTTAGGCAGGGTCTTGGTTCATGATGAAGGAAGAAAAACAATTTTTTAACAGGAAGATGCTGGCTGTTGTGCTTAAGATGGGAAAGGGAAATGGGGAGAGGGGGAACAAACATCACATTCAAGGTCTGAGGACGAGTGCATGCCTCTAAACTGCGGAGCCAAACCAGGAGGGGTTCGCCCCGGGCTCAGGGCTGAGTGGTTTCTTCTGTTTCGAACACGTGAGGCACAGGAAGGACACAAGACCTGACAGTACTCTCCTCCTGTTTGCCTCTCGCTGCTTCTCTGCTTAACTGTTTCACAGAAACAATCAAATTTTCTTAACGATTGTGGGGACGTCTCTCCAAACAGCAACAGCTGAGCCTTACGCATGCAGAGATGTGCAGTGGTGCTGCTGGATGAAGGGTGGATGTTTGAAAAGAAACACACAAAAAGAGGTCGAGGAGAAACATGTCCTGGCCACGCGCTCTGTTTGGGTGCCTGAGAGACCCATGGTCTCCCGGGGCACTGCAGCAAGAGCCCCCTCTCTTCCCACAGTACCCCCGGGCTGCTCTGACACATCTCTGCGTCCTTTGGCACAGCTCTGCGACATGGGAAGCACAGCCACCTCCAGGCACAGCATTCCCAGCATCTCCAGCCAGCTCTGGGAATCAGACCTGCTCTTTGGCTGAAAATACTTTCTGTTGGAGCTTCTGGCATTACAGACTTTTTGAGGCTCCCCATGTTCTTGAACATTAGGAGATACTGCTGGGCAACCTTAGCGCTGCATTCCCTGAGGCTTTTCTCAGTGCAGAGAGCTAATCCCCGGTGTCCGACACTCTGAACGACAGAGGTCAGTTCTGCACCATTCACAAGTAGGATTCATGAGTAGGCAGTATTTTATTGCTGCATCGTGCCGGCCTTTTTTGGGCTATGACAGTTACTTGTCTCATATGGGGTCTCGAGGAGTGGGGACTGTCTCAGTGTTTGGTATGGTCACTTGGCCACTGTGGGGACAGGAGTGGGAGCCCCAAGTCCTGCTGTCCGCCAGCTGCTGGAGGTCACTTCTCTGCTGGAGATGGATCCCACGCAGCGGAGCCGTAGGGACGGACCGTGCTCATCCCACACCGTATCACACAGCTCATCCGTGGGCTAGGCATGGCTGTGCTGCTAACATTTTTATCTGCTCCAGTTGCATCTGTAAGAGTATATCTGCCATGCATTTTCTTTAGATGAACCGTTCTGTTTTCTGACCATATGCATTTTCTCTTGTCTTTGTGCAGGTTTATCTTAGAGTATGGACCACGTTTGCTTTGGAGAAAGCTGTAGGACACTATTTCATTACTGTCTGACACATCTCAGGTTGCTTTCAAGTGAATGGGAAAGAGAGCATCTCACTCATTGCTGTTATTTGTTGCAGATGGATAACTGGACATCTGATACCCACGTTCAGAAGCCATGAATTCAAAAAAATTGCTCTCAGAAACACAGAGAACATTTCCTGCTACTACAGTGCGCTGCCAGCAGCCATCACGGATTCTCGTTGTGGATGTCACATCGCCTTCCTGGACCAACACCTGCTCTGTGCTCTCTGAAGCTCTGGAGAACACACTCTGCCTGGCGTGCAGTTTGACAGGCCCCTGCCGCGTTCCCCTCCTGAGCCTCTACGTGGTGGAGAGTCAGCAGGAGTGTCTGCTTCCCTTCACGGTACGTGTGAAATTATGTCTCTTGGGATCTAACAAACGTGAACGCAGTCCATGGTTGCAGTTCAGTAAAGGAAGTTATTATGTACTACAAATTTATATCTAAAAATTAATCATATTCAAAGAGCATAGTTTCATAGGCTTCATGGAAGAGATTAACTTTATGAAAGAACAAGGTTTAAAAGGAAGAGCATCCCATTTTTCTTCTGTGAAGTTGCTCATGTGCATAAATTAGGTTTTGTGCTGCTCCCTTCTAAAACATCCAGTGTACCTCTCCCTTTCCCATGCTGCCTTCTGCACTGTCTGTACTGCTTCTCTGTCAAAATTATCAAACACAACTCTACAGCTGCAATAATTTGGATGGGGAAATGGTCTGTACATTACACAAATATTACCACTTCGGGAGGGGTTCCAGATATTTAAGTGGAAAGGATCATAATTCAAAATAGTTTTTAGCAAATTTGAGAAATAACCTGAAATCATAGGGTCATGGAATCACTTAGGTTGGAAAAGAGCGTTAAGATCACCAGGTCCAACTGCAAACCTAACACAGCCGAGTCCACCACTAAACACGTCCCTAAGTGCCATGTCTACATGTCTTTTAAACGTATATATCTAGGTCAGTAAGAACAAGTATTTCACTCATCTAAGGATATGCAGCAGAACAAATAGAGATGGAGAATGACTCTGCAATAAAATTTGGGGATTACAAAGCATCCTAGAGTTCACAAGAATCCATGCAGTCATACTATTATAAACAGTCATACAGAGCACTCGTTTGTGCAGTGTGGTGTAAACACACAGTGTGAACCCCTCCACTTCAGTCACTCACATTCTGAAATAGTTTGTCAAGCTTTCACATCTCAGGAAAAGTAAAGGCCAACTGGGAAAAAAAATCATAGCCAATGTGATCTGCAAGAAGACTGTGGCTAATGGTGTGTTTGCTTTTAGAATAAGTTATAGATAACGCAACAAGGATAACTAAGGGGATACCAAAGAAACATTTTCTGGAGATGCTGGGAAATCACTCTGATTAGGGGCTTTGAAAACAGAGATGCGTTTTGTGCCCTAGGATGAATTTACATATAATTCATCCTGGCCTGTCACTGCAGGATGGGCTAGGTAATCTGTTTCACAGCTGGTTCCAGGCCTGGTTTTGAGTTATGTCCAAGTTAATTTGCAAGTGTTTGGGGCCAAACACCTGCTTTTTGCTAGGTATGTCCTAACACTGATCCCCCGTGTGCTGGCTGACAGCAGCCTCAGCTCTCTCTTGCTAACTGTGGCTCACCAGAGCACAACTGCGCTTGGCACAGTTCCTCTACTTGCCCCATCGTATGAATCTTCTGCTCACGACAGGCTGTCTTTTTCATTTAAACAACTCCTCATTTTGATAATCACAGTTTTTAAAGACAGAGGAACCCCTAGATCATTGTTTGGCTTCCTTCATAGCACAGGCTATTATATTTCACTACAGTGCCCCTATATCGTTAAAGCACTTCCTCCAGAAAGACATCTAGTTTTGATCTGAAGATATTACAAGATGGAAAATCAAGTACTTCTGTTGGTAATTTCTTCCAGTGGTCATTGTCATTGTGAAACTTGCATCTGGTTTCTAATCTGCATTTTTGGCTTTAGCTTCCAGGGATTTGTTACTAATTTCCCACTTTTGACTACACTGAAGAACCTACTTGTATTTTATACTTTCTTCCTCTAAACATAACAAGGTCCCTCCTCCATCTTCTTGCTGGTAAATGAAAGAGAACCAAGTATAAGTCTAACTATGAGGCATTTTTACAGGACCTGAATAACTTCCAGGCCCTTCTGTGTATTCACTCTTCTGGTTTTTTGATGCTCCATTCAAATACTGGACTCAGCAGTGCTGTACAGAGAGATGAAAAATGCCACCTCCTTCTGCTTGCATGACTGGTAATCACATCAACCCTTTTGCCATCATATCGCGTTTCTCTGGGACTTGTCCAAGACAGCGATGTTCGCCCGCAGAGACCCGACCCGGCCGATAGGCACGACTGTGGTGCGAGCCCCACTCCCCTTCTCCCCAGCTCTGCCTGGATGCTCTGCCCAGTGAGCCACCTCTTTATTTCAGACATCTGCTGTTGTACTGAAGGTGGTTTTTCTGAACTGTTCTTTCTCTGTTAGGAACAGTAAAGTATAGCAAAGTGACTACCTCCTTCAGTGGACCTAATTTCACTGATAATGATGCCTGCTCCTCTGCAGCTTCTGGAATCAGAAGCAGATTTACATCTCTGTCTGATAAACACCTGCTCTGTCTCAGCCTTCTTCAGAAATACCAGGGCTCTGTTGCTTTTTCAGCACTCCTGAATCTGTCCCTTTGTCTCACCAGGGCTCTTTATCACACTGACTTTCTGATCCCGCTAGAAAACAACTTGATACTTCTCAGCGAGGAGACAAGGCAGAGCTATGTTAAACATTGCTCATCAGACAAATCGTACGAAGTTGGGAAAGCCCCAGAGCTGAAAACAGAGATCAGGAGAGTACGCGGGGAAGCGTCACCCTTACAGTGACCCTTTTCTTAGTCTTTCCTGGGCACTTGTTTGTGGTCTCTGCGCCTACTGGTCTCCCCTGTTGGCTTAACCTTAAAGCCCAAAGAGCTTCCCTGGAAAGGGCAGGGGGATGACAAAGAAAAGGAAACCGGAAAGAAAGTTAATAACTTTTCTTTGGTTATTTGATGCAGGACAACAGATGGTGACAAGAGGGGAAGTGAGCATTAAAGCATCAAAAAATTTCAACGTGGGGCTGAGTAAGGACTCTGAGCAGAGCACCTCCAGCTGATGGGCCCTGTTTGGGATGGGCAGCCATCCCCCACAGCTCCCAGAGCCTCCCTGACAAAAAGGGATGAAAAAGAAACAAGGGGAAAAGACAGTAACTACAGGGACTAGCAACTTGAGAAAGTGAAGTGTGTGAGGGTGCGACATGCGGAAGGAGCCAGACAGGGCAGTGAGAGCAGTGCCTGCCCCAGCTCGGGGCCAGCTTTGAGCTCATGTTTTGGAAGCTTTTCTCTGGAAGCAGTGTAGTGTTGCAGATTAAAATGTTGGAGCAAGTCCAGAGGAGAGCTGTGAAGATGGTCCAAGGGCTGGAACACCTCCTTTACAAGGACAGGCTGAGAGAGTTGGGGGTGTGCAGCCTGGAGAAGAGAAGGCTCCAGGGAGACCTTCCAGCACCTTCCAGTGCTGAAAGGGGGCTACAGGAGAGATGGGGGGGCTCTGGATCAGGGGGGGCAGGGACAGGACGAGGGGGAACGGTTTGAAGCTGGAAGAGGGAAGATTTAGATCAGATATTAGGAATAAATTCTTTACTGTGCGGGGGGTGAGGCAGTGGCCCAGGGTGCCCAGAGCAGCTGTGGATGCCCCATCCCTGGAGGGGTTCAAGGCCAGGCTGGATGAGGCTTTGGCCAACCTGGGCTATTGGGAGGTGTCCCGGCCCATGGCAGGGGGTGGCACTGGGTGGGCTGGAAGGTCCCTTCCAACCCAAACCATCCTGTGATTCTATAATGAGACCAGCTGTCCTCAGGGCAGCCATTGTACAGTGGTAGCTGCTGCCTGAAGAAATAAAACATTTCTACAAATGACAGCTATAGAATAATTTTTCCTTTCTAACAGTTGCTCTAGTAGCTCATCTTTGAAGCAGGAGTGTCCACAGACCTTCCATCAGTGTTTGCTTTTTTGATAATCTTTATTGTGGTGAATGTCCTAAAAGAGCAGCACAGGAGTATGAGAAACACCCTCCAGAGTCAGGGCAGCAGTCCCTCTGCCCCGTCTCAAAAGGAAAGGCTGTTCTGGGGGAATGCCTCAGCCCAATCACTTACTGCACTTCATTCTCCTCACACTGCCCCAGTTCCACAGCTGTTGTATTAAGCATGACAGTGGATACATATGAGACTCTTCCTCTTGGTATCTGCCTCTGGACTTGTTACCCATGAGCTTGTGGAACCCCTTTCTGAACCTGCTGACACAGTCTGACTCCAAACCCTCCTGAACACAGGTTCCAGCAGTCCGCAGCCTGAGGAGTAAAGGAGTATGGATATGGCAAGGTGACCACAGCCTGGGGACATCACACTGCCTCAGCGCTCCCATTTATGTCTCAAGTTCTGCCCCTGTGTTGTGCAGGGCCAGAGGAGAGGGACATGCTCAACCACTGCACTGTGGCTATCAGCAGGCAGACAGCTGAACACCTGAGGAGCCGTTGTGTGTGCTGTTCCTAGCACAACTATCAGCTGGTTTTGACTCATATCACTCTTCACTGCTTTATGACTCGGCTCCTGCCCCGAGTCTTATCCCACTGCTGTGAATTCAAAAGCCTCCTTCCACATGATGGAAAAATATTTCATATTATCAGTTTGACCTTTCCAGTCCTTGAGTTTCATTGAATACTGTTTTGCAGCAAGTGAGAGAAAACTTTGCACGAATTCAAGCCTGCCTTTTGGAGCTCCGTTCGCTGCCAAGAGAAGGCTCTTTCCCACAGGGGGGAAGCGGAGTGGTACAAGCTGTGCAGGATGGACTGCAGCAGTTCAAACAGTACAGCAGACACACAGCAGCAGGAGGCTCAACAAACAGTTCTGTTGAGGTAAGAAAATGTGGGGAAGGTAGTGGGACCCATCCACCAGACTTGTCACTTGTCAGCACATTAAGATGATAGTCTCTGTGGTATCTGAGGTCCATGAATTAAGAAAACGAGCCCTCCAAAAAAACCCCTGTGGCAATCTCTGAATGGTCATGGAAATGAGAGATTCAGGTTTGAGTTGCCTATGGAGACTGACTGACTTTACAGTGTAGAAAAATGAATTTAATTTCCAGGCTTTTAATACTGGATGTTTTTTCAGCTTCATTTTTATTACTTTCCTAGAACTGTGTCTGTCCTGGTTCTACCCCTGGCTAGCAAAACACCACAACAATCGCTCACTTGCCCTCCCCCCTCCCAGGGATACGTCAGAGAATTAAAGCAGTAAAGGAAAAAAAGACTTGTGGGTTTAGTTTAACAACTAAACTACAATAATATTAAGAATAATAATTATGATAATAGTAGTAATATATATAAATGAGTGATACGCACTGATACTGCTCACCAACCGAAAACCAAGGCTCAGCCCATTCCCAGCTAATGATCCCAGAGCAGGGAGGGGGAGTCCCAAAACCTCAATCCTGGAACGGAGATAAGAGCCTGAGTGTCCAAGACCAAGAGCTCACCAAGAGAGTGAGAACCCCAAGAGAGCCAGCTCCAGGAATGTCCTGGTGCAAGAGAGAGCCCTTCCAGACAGAACCTCGTCTGTATACTGGCCATGCTGTGCATGCTATGGAACAGAGCAGTGCCCAGTTTGGGTCTCAGTCCCAAACCTGAGGTGAAATCCTGGGCTGGTCACTGGGGCTGTGCTCCCTCCCAGCTCCTCCTGCCCCTGCAGACACGGGCACAGCAGAGAAGCTGGAAAGTCCTCGACTGTCCTGGCAGCAACTATAAACAGTGTGTGATCAGCTTCTCCTCAGCACAAACCCAAACCACAGCCTCTTAATAGCTCCTGTGAGGACCGTTACCTCTGTCCCAGCCCCCACTAAGACAGCGTCAAAGGCAAAGACATTCACAGGACTCAGGACATTATTTTCCTTTCAGCCTACAGTTACATTCTGTGGCTATAGTATCTGGAATGTTCACCGAAGCTGCTGACAACGCATGGGAACATACGTACAAATGTAGAAAGCAGAACGAGGTTCACAGGAAGAAATATTTTTTTTTAAGTATATCAACTGATGTGAAAGGACAGGCAGTTACTAAGAGGGGAAGAACTTGGAAGTGGTGTTTTCTTCTGGACATGAGGAAATATCAGCGCCAAACTATCTTTCATTTCAGATTTCACAGGCTCAGGGTCCACCTGGTTTTGGAGCTTTGTCAGTACTAAAAAGGAGTCCAGACTCCCATGAGTGAGATTTCCCCAGTCCTTCTACTTTATTTAGATCCTTAAACCCTTCCAGAATCATGCTGTGATTAGGGAGACTCTCCCAGCTGTAATTAACACTCACTCCTAGTGCCTATCCAGGAAGCCCTTCTCCTGATTTGCTGGCTCCCTGTGTTTTCTTAGGGCCTCGAGGTGTTTTTCCTGACCGTTTCAAATGTGTTTTGTGCTTTAACTTCAAAGCTGAGGGTTGGAACAAAGGGAGTACACTCTTGAGACAAGACCTTTTTTGACACACAGCAAAATCCAGGACATCTTCTAGCAGAGTTGAAGAAAGGGGATAGCTACATTCAAAATTAAGTTCTCCATTAATATAGGGAGTTTATACTCCACTAAGTGATCCTTGCTCCTCTAGATTATGCAAATATATTACACTTTTCACTGCAAGGGATGTAAGGCACCTGCTGCAGTGATGGCTGTGTTATTACATATTTATTTGAAAGTGTTGATGACCATTTTTACAGTCTGCTTTCATTTGCTCATAGGAACCGTGTACATAGATGCAATACTAATTCCTCCTCCTCTGACAATTTACAGGCTTGTATTTGGTCTTGTATACTTGGATCAGCCTGGAAAATGGGGTGTCCTCCACTCTTCCGGAATTTATCTGACCACATAGCACTTTGTTTATAGATTTGATAGGTAACCACATGCTTGTCTTCCTGGTACCAGAAAATAGCAAGTTCCCGTGGTTTGTTACACTATCCTTGGCCCTGCAAAGGTCCTGGATCTGCATACTTGGTCCCATCTAAAGACCCCAGGGGACAGTCTTTATAAAAATCCTCAGGGTGATCTGAGAAGATGTAGAGCTGTTGTGCCTAGCTGGAACAGCATCTGACCAACATTGGCATGATTAATTCCAGTATACCCAGACCAGAGAATGATGTAGTAGATTTTTCTACTAAAACAAAACACAAGCAGCAAAGCCACAACACTTGAACAAACAAACAAAAACTCACTCTCAAATACACATGGATTCTAACTGGAAATATTTCTTAGGGAGGACAAGAACTGTGTAACCCAGGAGATGTGGCCATTCTTCAGAAACTTCACGCAGCCAATTGTACTTACATTGCTGCACGGAGAATCTCTGCCAGAAAATAACCTCGTACAGTACCAGAGAGCCCTTGCAGAGGGTCAGCTGAACAGGCAGGAGGAGCTCGTTGCCATCCTTGTAACCTAGAAGCCTCTCACTGACAGCTGAGCATACAGTCCCCTTCCCTTCACCACATTCAAAATAATGTCCACACTGGAGACTCTGAATTTTCCTGGTTTCCATACAACAGCAAACACCGCGGGCATCGGTCACACTTGCCCTCTCTAGCCTTCCCTCGGAGTTGCTCCATGCTAACTATAGTTCGATCCCCGTTTCTGCTGCCTGGCTTCCCTTTGAGCTGTTTGCAGCAGGTATCAAACATTCCTTCCAAGAATGCGTGCCTTATAAAGCAAAGGGAAAAAAATTAAATTAAGAGTGGCTTTTCTGTGGCATCATTAGTGGGTGCAATTTATAGCGATCCTATTCCGTTTGAAAAATACCCAAAATAAAACTAGAGAGTTTAAAGGTCCCTGCCAATCCTAACTATTCTGTGATTAGAAAACACATTAGAAGTATTTCTGCATTGAACTATTAAGGCATGGACTTAAGTATGTCCACTATTATATGAAAATAAGCCCTGCTTTATCGAATTTTTGGAACTCTCTAGTTCCATCTGTTTTTCCATGGGATGAATGTCTGGTTCTACCAACACAATTTCTCTTTCAAGAGCTTCACACCCGAGTTAAGTGCCCTCATAAATCAGTTGATTCCAGTATTTTGCAGTAAGATTTAACATAAGACTCATCTGTAGTGTTTGTTATTCATCAAAATTTAGTGCTTTAGATGCCGTTTGGGGTATCAATGCCTGATCGCCAAACTGACATCTCAGTGGGCACGCTACTGAGACAGAGCAGCAGGTGGTGCTGGCAGGAACAGCAAACGACAGGCGCATAGTTACAGTCAGTGAACCACCGAGGAGTAAATGCTTGGGAGCAGGATCACTGCATGTGAAATCCTGCAGCCGAGGGAAGATGCTCAGCAGAGGGAGTGCGCAGAGGGCAGGAGGAGAGGCAGCCAGCGAGGGGCCAGACCCGCACCTAGTTAACAGTTAAACCACAAGGAGGAAAGAATATTCCCAACTGACTAGTAAGCATAGGAGGCAGACTTTGTTACAACCTGCAGTCATTTAAAGCCCAAATATTTGTTACAAGTATTGAAAATGCTTACTCTTTTGAGATCCTGCTTCGGAGGAGAAACACTGCCAGCATCAGTGACGCTAAGCCTCAGCAAGAATTTCAGGGCAGGAAACGTGGCCAATCTGTAATAGGATGAAAAGTATTTTTCAAGTCACCAGTAGCCCATTTTCTGTCAGATCAGGAAGTACAACCGCATTAAGGGATTATATCTCAAAGCTGCGGTGGTATAAAGGGAAGTCACAGCAGCTACCCCAGTTTTTGTATGTGGTAAGGCCAGCATGTGCTCCTGTGACTCAGGTTGTGAAAAGGGTAAACTGGAGGTGATGGGCTACAGATGTAACGCAGCCATGCTTTTGATGAAATTAAGGTGCATCAGTGCAGCAAATGCTCTGTCTATAGCTCTGCAAAAGATAATTACACCTTCTAGACAGCTCAGCTAGCCCCAGCTGAAGAACAGTCTCTGTTAGACATTTTCATTAGCTCCTAAAAGCTCACTCCCAGTAACTCAGAGGCAAACACCAGGGATCAGTTTGTTTGGAGAGGGTCCTTTGTTAGGGAAATGAGGCTTGATCTGACTTCAGCAAAGCTACCCAGCTCCATGCCTCGAGGCCCAACCAGTTGTGAGGCTGAGCAGGCAGATGCACACAGAGCACACACACACACATATATATATATATGTACACACACGCACAGATGGTCACACCCATCATGGACACTCAGAGCGCTCACACGAACACAGACTGCGCCAGTGGCCTCAGGCTGCTCCCTCTCCATCTGAGCAGGATGGAGATCCACTAGCAGGAATATATACATACACACGCACGTATCTTTCTGCATATGTACCATGTGCACCCCTCCAGCAGCTGCGCTCAGACGCTCAGCCTGCCCAGTTGCTGCTCCTGGATCCCAGTCTCCCCAGCTGCTGGCATCTGGTTGCAGGAGCTGCTGGCATTCTGCCTGCCACTGTGCCCCTGTTCTTCGTGAGTGTGTAGATGAGCCTCCATCACAAAACCTAAAGGTTTTTGTGACATTAAGGTGTCCTAGTGCAGGAAATGCCCTAGCTATAGCTGAAAAAAAAAAATGTAATAGTATCTCTAGATGGTTCTGCTGCCTCCAACTCACAAACAGTTCCTGTTATGTACTTTGTCAGTCCATACAGGAGATCATAATTCCTTCATTGACAATATCTCATAGATAAATACTAAAGACAGATCTGGATGGAGAAGGCATACTCCCTCCCCCCTGCCCCCAATCCCTAACCCTTGAACTGTCACTCTGTTGGCGTTATTTAATATCTTTGTAGTAGAACTCATCTGTGAAGGTCTACTGTTAAGTTTCCCCAAATGCTCCCATGCAGGACGTTTGGGAGCAGCCCTACCTAAAATACACCTCATCCTGAATCTGCTGTTATTAACTAGTCCTTGGGAGCAATGAGCAGGTGTGCCAAGAAGACTCGGTACTTCACCATCACTAAATAGTAGGCAGGGTCAGAACTGGTAGCTTCCTCACCAAACCACTCTTTCTGGGTCGAAGCTGGAGTCAAACATGCCTGACATGATCCAGAAACTGTTGCTGATTGTCAGTGATGAAGAAACTCTTTGCAGTCACTTACTTAGTGTTACACCAAAGCTGGGAGGTGAGAATCACACCTACTGTTGCTCTCTTAAGAGACATCTTCAGGATAGACTATATACTTCTTTAAAAAAAAAGAAAAATCCCATTCAGCCTTCAAGTGAGAAGGCCAAATTTAGTCTACTTGAGCTATAATTGATGCAGAAATGGGAAATGGCACTGTCCCTCAGAAAGCCTGAGGCAGAGTCCCTCCTATACACAGACTCACTGACCCTAAGTGCAAAGGATGGAATATGACAGTGGGGGATTGTTCCACCTTCTTCCAGCAACACCCTGTTGGTGTTCCTACAGTGAACCTCTCAATCCATTTCATATTGGCTTAAACATAAGCCAAAGCTCAAAATAAAAGGCCTTTAAATCTGTTTTTCAATAGATGAGGTATTTCAGTGACATTTCTCTCCTTTCTCCGCAGTGGGATCTGTGCTGTTCAAACAGACCAGGCATCATCGCCTGCCAAGGGAGGATTAGGGTAGAGGCAGCTCTTGCACACTCTGGTTTGTGTTTCAGATCACAATTCTGACTAGTCAGTCAAGCAAAGAAATGGTAAAGCAGCTGGAAAACAAGTTAAAAGATGTAGACCTCATGAGTCTGCGAAGAATGCAAGTCATTGAGGTTTTGAAGAGAGAGCTTCTGGAGCCTGAGGACGTGGAACAGTGTGTGCCAGCAGAGGAGCCCAGCAGTGCCGGTGAGTGTAAGACGGGCAGGACACCCAGGGAAGCTATGGCTTTGGGTGGCAGGACAACCATAAGCTCTTGCTTTGGTCTGATACATGCCACAGCCCTTTGTGCCATTTAGTGTCACTCACTTTAGTAGGAACTACTGTGCCTTGAGGAACAGCAAAGCTTGTACCACAGCACTCCTCTGGGGCTTTGTCACATTTGGGCACAATCAGCATACAGACTTCATGGATTACTGCACCTCCTGGTATATACAAAATTGATTACACGTGCAACACAGCTTTACTGAGGGATTAAAGAGAAAAATGCACTGAGCTCACAGGAGCAGCATCCTCAGACACTGCTGGACACCACCCTGGGCAATGGACTGGCTGATCAAAGGGCTTGGTGCAGGCAGAGGCACCCAGAACCCTTGAAACAAGTAGTCAGGGAGGGAGAAGCAGGCAGGCCATTTACATACAGCTTCAGTGATCCTGGAGAGATACCCCCCCTCCCACTCAAGATCTTGTCCTTTTACAAGATGCTCAGTTTCTAGATGACTCTTAGCCTTTAGTCCTTTCCCCCAGACTACATACTGCACAATGCTGGACAAAGTTACTTTGGCAGACATAGCCAGGTACTTACCCTGTTAGTTAGATGCTTTTTGTCACTGACACTGCTCTTGCTTTGCTACTACTGCTTTTCTCTATGCTTAGGGCAAATTTTCTTGAGGTTGTACTTCTTCAGTAAC